AGAATGATTGTGTGTGTGTTGGGGGGGCAAAAAAAAACAGGCATTATGTCCCCCCCTCCCTTCTTACCTTTAGCCTGGGAGGGGTGGACTGGAACGCTGGCACCTGGGTGGCAGTGTTCCCTGGTGGTCCTCGTGGGTGAGTGATCTCTAGCCTGTGGGGCTAGAGTTCACTCTCGCGAGATCCGGCGCGTTGCAATGGCAATGCGCCGGATCTCGCGAGAGGAACCCGGCGGAGCTGCAAGTTAGAGCTCCGCCGGGTCCTCTCTCCTGGCGGCTGGCTCCCTCCCTCTCTCCCTGCCGGCGGCCAGATCTGACAGCATGTGGGCCGGTGAGGGAGATCTTTGATCTCCCCACCGGCCCGTCGTGGCAAACAGCGGGGCCGGCACTCGGATAGCACCGGCCCTGCATAGACCGGCAGGGGAGATCCTGGGACCTCCCCTGCCGGCCTCGGCCCATGGCCACCGCGGCCCACCGGGCATTTGCCCGGTGTGCCCGATGGCCAGTCCGGGCCTGGCAGTGTGTAGTGTGTGTAAAGTGAATGCAGTGTGTGTAAAGTGAATGCAGTGTGTGTGTGTATAATGAATGCAGAGTGCGTGTGTTTGTGTAGTGTGTGTATAGTGAATGTGGTGTGTTTGTGTAGTGTGTGTATATAATGAATGCAGTGTATTTGTGTAGTGTGTGTATATAATGAATGCAGAGTGTGTGTGTTTGTGTAGTGTGTGTATTGTGAATGCAGAGTGTGTGTGTTTGTGTAGTGTGTGTATGGTGAATGCTGTGTGTTTGTGTACTGTGTGTAGTGAATGTATATAATGAATGCAGAGTGTGTGGGTGTGTGTGTGTTAGTGTAGTGTGTGTGTAGTGAATGTATATAATGCAGAGTGTGTGTGTGTGTTTCTGTAGGTATGGAATTTGTGTAAAATGACTCTGAGGAGCAAAAAACTGTTAACTGTATTTTTTTAAAGTGTTCAAAGTCTAACTCAAAAATCCTGCTTAAGTTCAGTAGTTTCTAAGAGCGGTATCAAAATCAGCTACCATTTCAGTCAGGTTGTGAGATCTGTATTTTTCAAAGTGTTTTTTTTTTAACCAATAAAAACCCATGAATTTGGAAAGCTGGTTAAAGCAGGGAATAATTGAGAGAAAAATTATTACTACTTCTACCTGTTCGGTGCTTATACAAACTAAGAAAGAAGATACAACTAGAAATCCAGAAAACATGCCCGAAATAGTTGTATCTACTGTGACAAGTGACAAGTAAAAAAAAATAACACAATGCTAGCCAATCTTCAATTTAAGCTATGCCACTTTCCAACGACACAGTTTTGAGCCGTATTCATGAGCTTTAACGGTGTCCACACAGTATAAATTGGGAAAAATGTGTAGATGTGTACAGTGATGGGGCCAAAGCAATGGTTGGGAAAGAGTCAGGCGCTGTGACACGAAGAAGAAATTTAGCAAAAAACAGTACCAGTTCTCATTGTGTTCTTTACAGTCATGCACTGGTAGCTAAAAATTACAGTCACGACTATTTAAAATTATATGTGAAGATATGGGTAGTCACCACTCTGATCTGCTTTTGCATTCAGAAGTCCATTGGCTATCACAAGGTAAAGTCTTTGTTAGAATGTTTGAATTGCGTCATGAGTTGTTGCATATTTCCATGATCATAAATTTTGATTATCTGATCGATTAACAAACACTCTGTGGTTATCCAAAATAGCATATCTTGCAGACATATTCAAAAATTAAATGACGTCGCTGGAACAAGCCTATATTTGGCTGGGTATGCCGTTGCCATATTCTAAAAATGAACACCCTACCAAAAGTTTTATATCTCGTTCGAACACTTCCCATTACCATACCCAACACTTTCTTTAGACCATTAAAAGTTTGTTTAGCTCATTCATATGGGCACAAAATCATCCTAGACTACCACTCAAAACATTAATGTGCCCAAAATTACATTGCAAATTACATTGCGGGCTCTGCCTACCTGACCTTGAAGCCTATTACAAGGCGATCATACTAACTAGAATTTACGAGTGGACCTCTCTACAGCCCCAGATGCATTGGACATTACTTGAACTTCAGGGATTCCAGATCCCTCTACACACTCTCCCATGGAATGAAAAAGGTAGGACCTTCCTCAGACCTACATACCCGTTGCATCCAACCATTGTTCCCACCCTTAAAACTTGTCAGCTACTACGAAAACTCACTAATATATCCCACCTCCCCTCCCCGCTTTACCCAGTCACGCACAACTCACTGTTCCAGCCAGGAACTTTGATAACCCCTTTCCAACACTGCTACAACACCCCACACCTCATGATAGGCAAGATGGTCACTTCGACAGGTATTCGCCAAATGCAGGACCTTCTCCCTCAAGCACAGCTCTCTCCAATGCTAAGATTCCGACACAAACAGGTGACACTTCCTAAACTCCCAACCTGAATTATTTCAGAGATTTGACACCTTTTGAAAACCTCTGTTCAAATCGCCTGCTCAAAACCAAATATTTAGCCACGCCATACAAACTAATTCAAAAAGAAACTTCACCACATCACTCTAAATTTATGAAAGCTTGGGAAGAGGAACTCCTCATCTCATTCTCCGACACCGAATTTACACGTCTCTTCTCCAACATCTTCCATACCTCTATTAGCAACTCCACCCAAGAGAGCAATTACAAAAGAGTAGCAAGGTGGCACTACACTCCCTCACGCCTACAACATCTGTTCCCTCAAATCTCAGTGCAATGCCGGAGATGTCAACAGGGCAGGGGCACACCAGGTCACTTTTGGTGGTCCTGCGAGGTGATACAATCATACTAATTATTCAGGTCATTACTGGACAGCGCATACAGTGCACCCCAAAAACAACCTTATTCCTTTTACACCCCTCGTCACTCCCGACAAACACATGCATGCTCATAAACCACCTTCTATCAGCTGCTAACATACTGCTTCCCCTGCACTGAAAAACACATCAGTGCCTCCAATCAGGACCTGGATTCAGAAAGTCGAATCCATTCGAATCCTAGAAGAGCTGAATTTCTCATTATCACACTCATATCCGCAATACCTTTCAATCTGAGAACCCTGGATAAGATTTATGACACAGGATGAGACCACCTAGAGTACCTATGAATACTGCATCACAGGTAGCCCCTTCCACCCCCCTCCCCTGGCACTACACCAGGGCTAAGACACAGAAGCCTAATGATTATGACCCAACAGGGTTTAGACTTCTTACAGCAGACAGGGAATGATGAAGGGACCCTCATTTGGGACTTCCCGACCAAGAAATGAGAATGTACAAGTTTGCACTGATCTATTCCACACTCGACCTAACATGTAAATAGCGGTTTTGTTCAACTAGTTATTTTTCTACCCCTCCCCCTCCCCTCTCACATTCCTCCAACACGTATATGTTACATGCGCCTCAACACTACAGTCCCCTTAGGCTGGTACATATGGGAGGCAATATGCGCTGAATAAGCCTTGAAACACGTATAGAAGCTTTGCTGCCTATTAGCACTATATGTACTGGTAGTACCTCCCATACCGTAAAGAAATGAAGGGATAAGAGTTGACCGCTCTCCTCCTCTTTAGTTATTGAGGCATGTCCGGGAACCATGGCCAGGCTCACTGCACACAGAAGTTGCCTTGGCAACAGGTGTGCAGTCACCATAGCTCTCCTTAAGGAGTGACAGCCTTACTATCATGATCAAGCATTTTCCAGACACCTCCATGACACTGTCCGATGCCTTTGTACGGACCTTTGTAAATTATTTCTGATGTTGAGATGTAACATTAATGTTGATTATTATCAATGCGTATTTCTGTATATTTCTTGCCTTTTTACTAGTATTGTATATATAACAATTAAACCAAATATAAAAAGAATTTGCCAGCAAAAGAGAACATTACACTCTGCTCATTGAAAGGCTTGCGCTGCGCTGCCCTACTCAACGTCACACATATTTTTTGTTGGGGTTCCAAAGTTTTGCTATACCATGTCAAAGGGTTCCAAGGGAAAGATTAATTAGGAAACCCTGCCCTAGAGCAGTAGTTTCCTTTTGTATATTTGGAGTTATACACAATGATTTAGTGAGTACCAGAGAAAGGCAGCATTGTCTAATAAAGATCAGTCTGTTATATTTGTGGCTGCATCAATGGAACCAAAGTTATTTATTGCATTTCATGCTCACAATTATTAGGTAATAGAATACATTTGTAAGAAATATGCTAGATGTTAATTAGCTCAGACCCTTTCTATGGCCCAGTAGAAGTTCCTAATATCTTTAATAGGCTTTTGTGCCAATGGGAACAAACATATCTAGAACCCTATCACTAGCTCTTCTCTGTAAAATGCCTGATTGGCACTATGCATAAGGTTTCCCTATTCCAATTGTATTAAAACCTGTCAAAAAAAAAAAAAAAAAAGGGGTTGTGCTTAACTTGCCTTTCATGCCTCTCCTCACGTCAGAGGGGCCAAGCGCAGTCCATTTACACGCTTCTTGTAGATTCTGTGATTGGACCAATTGCTGGCTTAGAGTGCATGCACACAGTCAAAGCCAGTTAGGGGAAATGGAGAGTTTTTTTTTTTTAAATAAATGCTTGCAAAAAGTGAGGTGGGAGGGATCACACAAGGAGGGATGGTGGGATAGGTAACTTCCCCTTGCAGGCGCTCTACCTGCAAGAGATTTTAACACCAGGCGCGGGCTTGCAATGTGCGCTGACGACAGATGTAAAATATGCACAGAATTGACATTTGGCAGCCTAGAATGTCACCTATGCGGAGTGTGCAACTAGCCCCCAGCGCACAATTACAAATATTTCTGAGTGTGCAGTGTTTTAAGCTGAAACACTGCACCTACATACTCTTATCAGCATGATCATTTCAAATCACTGAAGTAGCCATGGTGGAACCCAGAAAACCCAGAACATGGACAACGTCGTAACTGACGCAAAATCGTCTGTGTGGAGTGGAATAGCTGAATGATAAACAACATCAATAAGCAGGCATCCAGAAGAGGTAAAAGCCATGTCAGCAGAGACACCACAGCTAACCCCAATACAGACACACCACAGCTAGAGACAACATGGCTACAGCCTGTACAGAGCCACCAATGCTACAGCTTACACAGAGAGACCACAGCTACAGCCTGCACAGAGAGATCACAGCTACAGCCTGCACAGAGAGACCACAGCTACAACCGACACAGAGACACAGCAGCAACAGCCGACACAGAGCTACCACAGCTACAGCCTACACAGAGAGAAAGCAGCTACAGCCAATACAGAGAAAAAGCAGCTACAGCCGACACAGAGACACTGCAGCTACAATGGTACTAAAAGAGGCAATCAGTTTACCAAGAGAGGCGGTATAAAGAGAAAATAGAAGGGGACCAAGGACAGACCCTTGGGGAACTCCAACCGAGACAGGACGAGTGGAGGAGGTATCCTTGGAAAAGGAGACACTGAATGAGCGTTGGGAGAGATAGGAGGAAACCCAAGAGAGGACCGAGTCACAGAGACCGAGCGATTGAAGAGTTTGAAGGAGGAGAGCATGATCAACGGTGTCAAAGGCAGCAGAGAGGTCAAGGAGAATTAATATGGAGTAATGACCTTTGGATTTAGCGGAGATTAGGTCATTAGTCACTTTGATAAGAGCAGTCTCAGTAGAGTGGAGAGGGCGGAAGCCAGACTGAAGAGGGTCAAGGAGAGAGTTGGAATTAAGGAAGCGGGACACACGGGTAAAGACAAGCCTTTCCAAAAGCTTTGATGAGAAAGGGAGCAGGGATATGGGACGATAGTTAGAAGGGGAGGATGGGTCAAGAGATGTTTTTTTCAGGATAGGTATTACAGTGGCATGTTTAAGGTCAGCAGGAACAGTGCCAGAAGAGAGAGAGCAGTTAAAGATGTGTGTTAGGGTAGGCACAAGACAAGGGGAGAGAGATCTGATGAGGTGAGATGGGACAGGATCGAGCGGGCAAGTGGTGGGGCGAGAGGAATGGAGAAGCGCAGCCACCTCTTGTTCAGTAGCCGGGTAGAAAGTCTGGAGGGTAGGGAAAGCAAGATTTACATGTGGTTGAGAAAGAGAACGGCAAGGAGGGGAGAATTGTTTCCTTAGCTGTTCAATCTTGTCGGTAAAGTAGCATGCAAAGCTATCAGCTGTAAGGTTAGTTTGGGGGGTGGCCACAGCAGGGCGGAGAAGGGAATTAAAGGTGTCAAAGAGGCGTCTGGGATTGCGGGAGCATGAACTAATGAGAGAGGAAAAGTATGACTGTTTGGCGAGGGCGAGGGCTGCGCTGTATGAAAGCAACATGAATCTATAATGGAGAAAGTCTGCCTGGGTGCGGGACTTCCTCCAGGAGCGTTCAGCACAACGGGAGCAACTCTGCAGATAGCGTGTTGATTTATTATGCCAAGGTTGGGGTCGTGTCCTCCTCGAGGTGCATGTTTTGAGTGGGGCTGCAGCGTTCAAGGCAGATGTGAGGGTAGTGTTATATGTGGAGATGGCCAGTGAGGGACAGGAGAGGGAAGGGATGGATAGCAGTTGTGAATCAATGTCAGCTGACAGCTGCTTGAGGTCAATAGAGTTAAGGTTCCTCCTGAGCTGAGGGGGGTTAGGCTGAGATTGTTGGGTGAGGGGGTAATTGAGAGCAAACGATAAGAGGTGGTGATCAGAGAGAGGAAATGGGGTGTTGCAGATATTAGATATTGTACATGAATAAGAGAAAATAAGGTCGAGGGTATTGCCAGCTACATGAGTGGGAGAATTAGCCCACTGCAAAAGTCCAAGGGAGGAAGTGATTGAAAGTAGTTTAGAGGCTGCTGGGGTCAAAGGTGGGTTAACGGGAATATTGAAGTCTCCAAGAATTAGGGATGGGATGTTGGAAGAGAGGAAGTAGGGTAGCCAGTTCTACTATTGTTGTCTATTTACGCTGTTGCCAGCTTTAGATCGCCGTATTTTTGGAGGTCTTCTTTATTTTTTTAAGTTTATTAATTTGTTAGGGTACAAGCCCTTGGTGGTGCTGGCACCACCACCTGACCATTTGCCATTGTATTTACCTCTCATACTTCGTTTTTTCATCTTTGGAGTTGATTGGTTAATACAAGGTGATTTACTTTCTATCTATAACACCGTAGCTACAGTCTGCACAGAGACACCGCAGCTACAGCCTGCACAGAGACACCGCAGCTACAGCCGGCACGAAGACACCACAGCTACAGTCTGCACAGTGACACCGCAGCTATAGCCTGCACACAGACACCGCAGCTTTAGCCTGCAAAGAGAGACCACAGTTACAGCCTGCAAAGAGAGACCGCAGATACAGCCTTCACAGAGATACCGCAGCGGCAGCCTTCACAGAGATACCGCAACGGCAGCCTTCACAGAGATACCGCAGCGACAGTCTACACAGAGAGACCACAGTTACAGCCTGCACAGAGAGACCACAGCTACAGCCTACACAGAGAGACCACAGCTACAGCCTACACAGAGAGACCACAGCTACAGCCTGCACAGAGAGACCACAGCTACAGCCTACAAGAGAGACCACAGCTACAGCCTACACAGAGAGACCACAGCTACAGCCTATACAGAGAGACTACAGCTACAGCCTACATAGAGAGACCACAGTTACAGTCAACATAGAGAAACCACTGCGACAGTCGACACAGAGATACCACAGCTACAGCCGTTACAGAGATATTACAGCTACAGCCAGCAAAGAGCCCACAGCCACAGCCAACAGAGAGACACCAGAACTACAGCCAACAGAGACACACCAGAACTACAGCCAACAGAGAGAAACCAGAATTACAGCCAACAGAGAGAAACCAGAACTACAGCCAACAGAGAGACACCACAACTACAGCCAACAGAGAGACACAGCAGGTACAGCCTACACAGAGACACCGCAGGTACAGCCTACACAGAGACACCGCAGGTACAGCCTACACAGAGATACCGCAGCTACAGTCGACAGAGACACCGCAGCTACAGTCGACAAAGACACCGCAGCTACCGTCGACAGAGAGACCGCAGCTACAGTCAACAAAGACACCGCAGCTACAGCCTACGCAGAGCCACCACAGCTACAGCCTACACAGAGACACCGCAGCTAAAGCCTATACAGAGTCGAAACAGCCTATACAAAGTAGCTACATCCTACACAGAGAAATAAAACAAAACAAAAAAAAACAAAGCTACAACTTGTACAGACAAGCCACAGCTAATGCACAGAAACCTCAGCTAAAGCCTATACATAGAAACCATAGACTATAGCTTAGCTATACAACCTATATAGAAAACAACACAGCTAATGCTTGTATTGAGTAACCACAGCATATCACGAGAAACCTCAGTTACAGCTAATACAGAAAACGCTCAGATACATCACATACAGGGGAACCACAATTAAGTTAATATAGAAAAAACTCAACTACAGCTAATGCAGAGAAACCACAGCTAATACACAGAAACCACAATTATTGTTTATATATATTAGACACATCTTGGACAATTAAATTTCATATATAGATCATACAGATATCCAAGACTCATTTTTTATATAGAATTTTCAAACAGAGCTCAATCACACAGCTATTTCACATATAGGTTATACAGATATCAAAGATACAGTTTATACAGAGAAATCCGTGATCGAGATCATACTGCTATCTCAGATACAGATTATACAGCTCAGATATAGATTATACAGATATCCAAGATACAGTTTATACAGAGAAATCCGAGATCGAGATCATACAGCTATCTCAGATACAGATTATACAGCTATCTCAGATACAGATTATACAGATATCTTAGATATATAGATTATACAGATATCTCAGATACAAATTATACAGATATATCGGATACGCATGCAATTTGCATACAACTAGTACTCCAATTGCATGTTCTGTTTCTATCAGTCTCAGCTCGCAGGAGCCGTCTTTGATCTAGCTAATAACACGGGATAGAGGAGAGCTTTTTGTAATTTCTCTCTTGGCAGCAGGTGTAATTTATACAAAAAAAAAAAAAAAGTTTCCAGCACTTAAACAGCATTATTAGCATAATGTGTGCGGCCAGGAGCTTCATTACGAACCACTCGCTCCCACTTTCCAGTCTATTAACCCATGCTGTGCTAATAGGGCTGCACAACCCATAGTAAAGGCATTGGACGGGTTGACTGCAGCAAAGTGGGCGTAACATATGTACACAACAAGTTCTAAACATCAATGTGAATTAAAGTCTGATGATTTCCCCATTACAGTTCTAATTCATGGGTAAAATTAGTGAATGAACCAGCTGTTGCTACTGAAAGAGAACAGCCAGTGATACTCACTGAATCCAAGCTTCCTCTGGTGACAGGTGGCAGTCCTTGTTGTTTCTTGCACTGCGGCTACATAAGACTGTGATGCGCTATGTGGCCATCTCTTTGTCCGTGTGTCTTTGTCATTTATTCCTCAGATATACAGTGACTGGCTTATGCTGTAGCAGGAGAACGGTGGCTCTCTCTCCTTCACATCATCTCCAACGTGCGGCTCTCTGGCTGTAAAACACAAAAGACAAACTGTCAACTGATAACGTGAAGTAAACTGGGGAGGGCACAGTAGTGTCTCGGTAGGTAACAAGGCAGAACAGTGGCTGTACTTCTCGTCGGCGTCAAATTGGCATCTGGAACTTTGCAAAGTCTGTTTTTATTATGGCAAAACTGTAACCAGACAACCTGCTGCTTTATTCCTTTAAAAAAAAACAAAAAAACAAGGGAGAGGTAAAGCAAGCAAAGTGTGCAGTAAATGAGTAAACCAGAAGAGCATCAACCTTCCTGGGAAGGATTCCTATAAAAAGCCCAAGGGATAGTAAAGATACATGTATCCCATTGGCAATTTCCTGTATATTCACTTTAAAATCACCTGTAGTATTAGGATAAGGATCCAAGCAGACCCCACCTAACAAGTGCTGCCAGATTAAACCCTAATTTAAAGCAGCACTGCCATGCCGAACTTACCTTTCCACAATCGATTCCTCTTTTCTCCCTCTGTCAGGATCTGTTCTTCATTGCTTCCTGTCTGCTCTAGCTTTCTTTAAAACATAAGAAAAAGTAGGGACTATTTGTCTTATTGAGGTTTCCTACGCCTAACCAGCTATGTCTACTAAACAGTGAGTGTAAAAAAATAAAAATAAAAAAAAACCCCAAGCCCTTGTAACACCCCTCCCCCACCAAGTGACTAGGGGTCCCCAAGCCCCTATCACTCCCCCTACCAACCCCCACAAAATAGTAAATAAATTCCTACCTAACCCCCTCACCCTAACAATAGTGAGGGGGGAACAATAAAACTAAACACCTGTATATAAAACAAGCTTACCATTTGATGTCTTCTTTTTCTAAAAACCTTCTTTTCAATCCCAAAAAAGGCCAAATAAAAATCCATCATACCCGTCGAGCTTTGAAAATAAAACGAAAAACCTGAGCGCAAAAAAATAAATAAAAAAATCCAGACGGTAAAAAAATTATTCCACTTCACCCATGGAGGGCACGGCGCAGACTGAGCTCCGCAGGGCGGGGAAAGGATTATAAAGCCTTCCCACGCCCTGCAATAAGGCTCAGATTGCACTGACAGGTAAGTCTCTACATTCACCTATCACAGCACTCTGGTTGGTTGGCTTGAAATCCAGACTGCTGTGTCATTTTACACAGCATGGGAATGCGTTTTGGAGTTTTCCCATGCTGTATAATTTCACTGATAACACTGTGATTGGTTGCTTTTTCAAATTGAAAGCAACCAATCAGACGATTATGAGTCAAATTACACAGCATGGGAAAATTCCAAAGAACTTTCCAATGACACAGAGCACTCTGATTGATTGGATTTCAGGCCATCCAGATTGCTGACAGGTAAATGTAGAGACTTACCTGTCAGTCTCTTAATTTAACTGTCAGAGCACTCTGACTGGTTGGCTTAAACCAACCAATCAGAGCGCTCTGAGCCTAACTGCAGGGCGTGGGAATGCTTTATAAGTCTGCGCCTTGCCCTCCATGGGTGAAGATGGATTTTTTTTTTTTGAGTCTTTTTTTTGGGCGATCTGGTTTATTTTATTTTATTTTCAAAGTTCGACAGGTTCGGATCCTTATATAGTATCATACCCCATTCCATAGGGATAGAAGCTACGAAATATTTTTTAAAGAAATCCAATTTTAAAGATTCACAAATAGATTTTATATTGGAAGGTATTTTATTGATCTTAACAAACAATTTCTTCTGGTTTAAAGACTCTTTTATTATGCAAATCACGGGTACGGCGATGGGTACCAAGTTCGCACCAAGCTATGCGAATTTATTTATGGCTTACTGGGAAGAAATTATTCTGTTCCCAAGTAGCCATGCGACGAACTTGGTTACCTATCGCCGATACATCGATGATATATTTTTTATCTGGAAAGATGGAGAAGAAAGTCTAAAAGTCTTCCTTGATTTTTTAAACAATAATGAATGGGGGATTGTTTTAACTTATATATATAATACTCATCATATTGATTTTTTAGATTTGGAAATTTTTATCACTGAATCAAGGATCCATACTAGAAATCACTTCAAAGAGGTAGATGCTAACAGCTATATCGAGAAAAAGAGCTGCCACTACCCTCCATGGTTAACGAATGCCCCTAAAAGTCAATTCCTAAGACTTAGAAGGAATTGTACAAAAGACTCCGATTACACAACCCAGGCAGACGTAATTAAACAACAATTTTTACAAAGAGGTTATGATGAGGAAGCACTTTCAAAAACTTTAGAGGAAGTAAAAAAGATGAAAAGAAAGGACTTGATAAAACAGAAGGGAACAAAACTGAAGAATAATAAAAACAAAAACCACATTAACATACCCTTCATATGCAACCACAGCGGCAATAACGGAAAAATCAGGAAAATTATTAAAAAATACTGGCCAATTTTGCAGGAAGATCCAGTTCTAAAACAAATAATACCATCAGAACCCAAAATAGTCTATAGGGGCTGTAAAAATATGAAACAGATTTTAGTAAATAGTAGTTTTAAAACTAAACAGAAAGATCCTTTTTTTTTTAAAAAGCAAAGGTTTTTATGGCTGTGGTTCATGTTTAGCTTGTAGAACCACATGCCAGAAAAAAAGACATGTGCTATCTTTTAATTATCAGAACGATAAGACCTTTTATATCAGAGATCAATTAACATGTTTTTCAAAAAATGTGATCTATATTTTAAAATGCCCCTGTGATTTAATTTATGTAGGAAGAACTACGAGATGTCTAAACATTAGAATTTCCGAACATGTTAGAAATATAAAAAAAGGAGTAGAGACACATAGTGTCTCTAACCACTTTAAAATGCACCATAACAGCGATCCAAAAAATACATTTTTTTGTGCTATTAAAACTGTACAAAAAGATTGGAGAGGCGGAGATTTTAACAAAAAGATAGGGGAAGAAGAAATGAAATGTATCTACAATTTTAAGACCCTGATTCCCCATGGTCTTAATCAAGACTTTGAGTTGTGTCATTTTTTAGTATAACTCTGCTTGTGATATACTTTTAATTTTTAATATAACTCTGCTTGAGATATACCTTTAAGATTTTAGGAACGTTCTTAATATAGGTGTTTGTCCGTTTTTTATAATTATAGTATGTATGCCTTCCACTAGAAAGTATATTTTTATTTTTACATTATGTTTTTAGAATTGGTAATGTTTTATTTGTACCAGCTTAAGGGCATATTTTATACTTGCTTTTAGACACCTCTATTACTTACTTTCCATCTTCTCATTGGATCACTATTTGAAATATTGGATTAACATTACTTGGCTCTAAGCATTGTTTGAAAAAGATTTGTTTGCAACATTCTCAAGTATTACATTGGCTTTTAAAAGACATTATGGACAGTATAACTAGTATGGAACGCATATGCGTTCCAATGACGCCTAAAAAGAGACGTATGCACGCACGAGTCCGGCCGAGACCGGAAATGATGTCATGGAACTAGGAAATCAACGGTGGAACGCATAGATGCGTTCCACCTGATATATTGAATTATTGCCGAAACCGGAAGTGACATGGACGCCTCCAAGGGGACGGAACCCGGAAGT